AAAGATGGACAAAGCTTGAGTGAGAAATTACTTTCAGACACAGAATAAACAGAATGGATAGAAATAGAGAATTAATTAGAACCTTTTGTTCAAACGACAATATTAATTGGTGGAGCACAATCATTAAGTTCACATAATATCCAAAATGTTTGTCAACGATTGAAGATTCTATGTTTAAACGCTGGGAAGTATCTTTAATGGATACTTATCTTGCCTCTTATTTAGATCCTCGTTTCAAAAATATATCATTTGACAAAGAAAAAAAGTGTAGTTCAAAATATGCTTTCAGAAATGATAAAAACAATAACAAATGCTATTAATATCCCGGCGCAAACCAGTTTTTGATAGTGATGATGTTCAAATTGATTATCAAGTGGATAACGAATTAGAACATTATGAAAAAATAAAACAAATGAACAAATATTGTCCACTTTACAAGACTCACAATCCTCTCAGTGATGGGGAGTACACATCAAAAAGACTATACAAATTTTAGCAGTATTGGCTCGAAAATTTCTTGCTTTTCCGGAAACTTCAGTACAAGCCGAATGGTTATTTTCTGATGCAGGCAACATTCTAACAAAAAAACAAAATCGGTTAGATCCAAACATGGTATATGATATATTGTTTCTAAAAACTAATTCTGATCTATTCAATGTTTATCACGGGCTAGAATAGTAGTTTTAGTTGAATAATAGAAATTATCGTCAAATCAGTTTTTTGAATAAAGATATCGTGACCTTTTATGATGTAAGTCATAAATATTTGACACAAGACCAGCGATATGGTATTATTATGATCTGAATGGCTGAAAAATATATATTGTAAAAAAGTCAGCCAGTTAATCAGCCTGCGTCATTTTGTTATCAGCCCGGCCCATAGGGTTCCGTATCACTAATAAAATTTGTACTGTTTAATTCGAAGTCACGCAAAACAATCAAATCACATAAATCACGTGAGACCAATTAAATTAAACATTCTCATTCGTATTTTATTAGTTTAAAGTGACCTTCATTTACTTTAATTATATCGATTATTCTTAGGGGAAGAACAGATTATGATCGGAAATCACATTATCTGTCTTTTTTGTCTTCGTTTTGATACTGCTTACATCGTATATTTGAACATGGTTTTTCTGCTGTAATCCTGACAATCCGAACATACTCTATATTTCTTTTACAGTTTTTATTGATCAAAATCATACGTTCGATAAGGTCTCGTTCTTAGAATGCATGCGTTATTTTGAAAATATATCTATAAAAAGCCCACTTGCGCAATCTTCATCGGGTAAAATTGATGATAATTATGATGTTGATAGTGGTGAAAAAGACACTGATTCGGGGTGTTGAGCGACGAAGTAGTTCTTTTAAGAAAGCTTTGAGGAAAATCATCTCGAACATAGTATTAATAGAAGAAAAAGTGAAAGACAAAGATGAAAATGAATAACCGCTCGAGGATATGAAAAACTATGAACGCAGCCAGTTTTCCTTTGGCGATGTATATTAGAAAATGGTCGATCCGGAGTTATTTTTATAGAAGCTTTTCGGAAAAACAGGTGCTCTCAAATAGTTAATTATATAAAGACGAGAATCTGTTAAAAGAAATACTTAACTAAATCAAGGTCTATCTCGGACCCCTTTTAGAAGTTCAAGGAATTTACACACAACTCGGCGTTCTTAATGAAGCTATTATCTTTATAGTCACACCTCTCTATAATCACCCAATTTTGCGTTTCCAAGTACGGTGACTATAGAGAGGGTTTGACTGTTTTTTTCATCTCTTGCCGGAAGAACTTTGCGATAAGAAATAGTATCACGAAGCGGAGAAACAGCTGATACAAAAGATCTGGATATGGAAATATACAGGTAAGCATTTTGCGTTGTGATTTCATCTTGACTGATTTACATTATAGTACCGGTACACAATTCGTAATATACATGTATATATATATATATTAGCGTGGGAGGTTCCGTGGAGATGTTGTGCTAAAGTTACAGACGTTATATTGGTCCTAAGCGTATTATATGTACATGTATATATTAGCGTAGATGTTGTACTAAAGTTACAGTACTGTATTTAGTCTGCTTACTAGAAAGACTAAAAAGAGGAAAAAATTGTTTAATATATAAATCGGTTAAATTTTAACGATAATAAAACGCCGAACATAATTTCCAGATGCATGTAAAACCAGATCATCATAAACTACGTCAGACTGGTTTACGCGGAGGTCAATTTTAGTTTTCGCATGTATTATATCTTTATTTTCACTTTATTCCACTTAAGTATTAGTTTCCCGTATGTTGTTAAGCAAAGTTAAATAAAAAAATAAAATAAAAAAATTGAATATGACTAATTTTTTGGTAAAATTTGCGTTGTTTAACATGACGTATCTTATCATGACACAATTTAGCCCGTATTGGAAATTTCGAAGTCAGAGGCGTTTGTTTATTATCGTTATGTGCTGATTTTTATATGTAATCATTGTGCGCTGATTTTTATCTGCTTTACTCACATCGTGGGAATAAACTCAAGCGCAGAAAAAAAATTTATACAATTAAATTATTGTTTCAACTTAATAATATATAATAAACTAAAATAAAAAAGTAGCAAATCGCAGCTATAAAAGAATTGCGTTTTAAAACTTCCTTTTAGTTGTATTTTCGCAACTATAAAAGAATTGCGTTTTAAAACTTCCTTTTAGCTATATTTTCGCAGCTATAATAGAATTACCTTTAAAACTTTTATTTGTATTTTCGCAGCAAATATGCTTATTTTAAGAATGATTGAGTTTCTATTACAAGCATTACATTTCTGGTGCACCAAAAATAAAGCTAAGCTCTCGCTCGTTGCTGTGTTGTTTTTATTAGGATTTGGTTTTTATTTCGTATGTTGAGCATCACTGTTTTTTGTTGGTATTATTATTAGATTTGCATACTAATCAAAGTTTAATAGGGTATAACATATCAAGAATATATTCAAGAGACTGCATTCAGGGATTTTGTGGATGCAACGAATAAGAATTTATTTGCTCTAGACTTTCCAGGTATTCTATCTTTACAATATTATTTGATGATACAATACCTCCTATCACCCTTTTAACATAATGGTTTTTCAAAGAAACATCAGCGTATACTCAGCACTTGGTCGAATTATATGATCTTGCTGATACTTTAAGACAAAGCAACGAGGTACAACAAAATGGTCTACTTATTTCCGGTTCTCTTCACGGTTTAGCTGATGATCTTAAAGTTGCTGAAGAAGAGATAAACGACTTTCAACACAAATCATCAGAAGTCGTCATTAATTTACAATATAAAGTGTCATTAATCTACGACATATTAGATGTCGTAAAATTATCGGATGAAGAAGAAAACTTTTATTTCTATGACACATTTATTCCTGACCTCCTCGTTGAACAATTTTATAAAATGATCACTTATTGGGATGATGAAAAAAATTTCTCAGGGTTCATTCAACGGCAATTGAAAGTTTTGGAACTTGTCTTTCGAGAGTTAAAAGGACAATTAAATAAAATGATTAATTCATATAGTAAGGTTAAACTTGATGCTAGAAATCTTTCCTTTTATTTGCTAAATGCTGAGCGAGAAGCTGAGAGAGCAATTAAAAACTATTGGGCTGAAAGTTTCATCGATCATTGCAAAATAATCAGGGCGGAAAAGGAATTAAGACAAGT